AGAGCACACACTGCAGTGACGACAAGGAGAGCACACACTGCAGCGACGACAAGGAGAGGACACTGCAGTGACGACAAGGAGAGGACACACTGCAGTGACGACAAGGAGAGCACACACTGCAGTGACGACAAGGAGAGCACACACTGCAGTGACGACAAGGAGAGCACACACTGCAGGGCGACAAGGAGAGGACACTGAAGTGACGACAAGGAGAGCACACACTGCAGTGACGACAAGGAGAGCACACACTGCAGTGACGACAAGGAGAGGACACTGCAGTGACGACAAGGAGAGGACACTGCAGTGACGACAAGGAGAGCACACACTGCAGTGACGACAAGGAGAGGACACTGCAGTGACGACAAGGAGAGCACACACTGCAGTGAGGACAAGGAGAGCACACACTGCAGTGCGACAAGGAGAGGACACTGCAGTGACGACAAGGAGAGGACACTGCAGTGACAACAAGGAGAGCACACACTGCAGTGACGACAAGGAGAGCACACACTGCAGTGACGACAAGGAGAGCACACACTGCAGTGACGACAAGGAGAGCACACACTGCAGTGACGACAAGGAGAGGACACTGCAGTGACGACAAGGAGAGCACACACTGCAGTGACGACAAGGAGAGCACACACTGCAGTGACGACAAGGAGAGGACACTGAAGTGACGACAAGGAGAGGACACTGCAGTGACGACAAGGAGAGCACACACTGCAGTGACGACAAGGAGAGCACACACTGCAGTGACGACAAGGAGAGCACACACTGCAGTGACGACAAGGAGAGCACACACTGCAGTGCGACAAGGAGAGGACACTGCAGTGACGACAAGGAGAGCACACACTGCAGTGACGACAAGGAGAGCACACACTGCAGTGACGACAAGGAGAGGACACTGCAGTGACGACAAGGAGAGGACACTGCAGTGACGACAAGGAGAGCACACACTGCAGTGACGACAAGGAGAGCACACACTGCAGTGAGGACAAGGAGAGCACACTGCAGTGACGACAAGAAGAGCACACACTGCAGTGAGGACAAGGAGAGCACACACTGCAGTGCGACAAGGAGAGGACACTGCAGTGACAACAAGGAGAGCACACACTGCAGTGCGACAAGGAGAGGACACTGCAGTGACGACAAGGAGAGGACACACTGCAATGACGACAAGGAGAGCACACACTGCAGTGAAGACTAGGAGAGCACACTGCAGTGACGACAAGAAGAGCACACACTGCAGTGACGACAAGGAGAGCACACACTGCAGTGAGGACAAGGAGAGCACACACTGCAGTGAGGACAAGGAGAGGACACTGCAGTGACGACAAGGAGAGGACACACTGCAGTGACGACAAGGAGAGCACACACTGCAGTGACAACAAGGAGAGCACACACTGCAGTGACGACAAGGAGAGCACACACTGCAGTGCGACAAGGAGAGGATACTGCAGTGACGACAAGGAGAGCACACACTGCAGTGACGACAAGGAGAGCACACACTGCAGCGACGACAAGGAGAGGACACTGCAGTGACGACAAGGAGAGGACACTGCAGTGACGACAAGGAGAGGACACACTGCAGTGACGACAAGGAGAGCACACACTGCAGTGACGACAAGGAGAGGACACACTGCAGTGACGACAAGGAGAGCACACACTGCAGTGACGACAAGGAGAGGACACTGCAGTGACGACAAGGAGAGCACACACTGCAGTGACGACAAGGAGAGGACACTGCAGTGACGACAAGGAGAGCACACACTGCAGTGACGACAAGGAGAGCACACACTGCAGTGACGACAAGGAGAGGACACTGCAGTGACGACAAGGAGAGGACACTGCAGTGACGACAAGGAGAGCACACACTGCAGTGAGGACAAGGAGAGCACACACTGCAGTGCGACAAGGAGAGGACACTGCAGTGACGACAAGGAGAGGTCACTGCAGTGACGACAAGGAGAGCACACACTGCAGTGACGACAAGGAGAGCACACACTGCAGTGACGACAAGGAGAGCACACACTGCAGTGACGACAAGGAGAGCACACACTGCAGTGACGACAAGGAGAGGACACACTGCAGTGACGACAAGGAGAGCACACACTGCAGTGACGACAAGGAGAGCACACACTGCAGTGACAAGGAGAGGACACTGCAGTGACGACAAGGAGAGCACACACTGCAGTGACGACAAGGAGAGCACACACTGCAGTGACGACAAGGAGAGGACACTGCAGTGACGACAAGGAGAGGACGCTGCAGTGACGACAAGGAGAGCACACACTGCAGTGACGACAAGGAGAGCACACACTGCAGTGAGGACCAGGAGAGCACACTGCAGTGACGACAAGAAGAGCACACACTGCAGTGAGGACAAGGAGAGCACACACTGCAGTGCGACAAGGAGAGGACACTGCAGTGACAACAAGGAGAGCACACACTGCAGTGCGACAAGGAGAGGACACTGCAGTGACGACAAGGAGAGGACACACTGCAATGACGACAAGGAGAGCACACACTGCAGTGAAGACTAGGAGAGCACACTGCAGTGACGACAAGAAGAGCACACACTGCAGTGACGACAAGGAGAGCACACACTGCAGTGAGGACAAGGAGAGCACACACTGCAGTGAGGACAAGGAGAGGACACTGCAGTGACGACAAGGAGAGGACACACTGCAGTGACGACAAGGAGAGCACACACTGCAGTGACGACAAGGAGAGCACACACTGCAGTGACGACAAGGAGAGCACACACTGCAGTGCGACAAGGAGAGGACACTGCAGTGACGACAAGGAGAGCACACACTGCAGTGACGACAAGGAGAGCACACACTGCAGCGACGACAAGGAGAGGACACTGCAGTGACGACAAGGAGAGGACACACTGCAGTGACGACAAGGAGAGGACACACTGCAGTGACGACAAGGAGAGCACACACTGCAGTGACGACAAGGAGAGCACACACTGCAGTGACGACAAGGAGAGCACACACTGCAGGGCGACAAGGAAAGGACACTGCAGTGACGACAAGGAGAGCACACACTGCAGTGACGACAAGGAGAGCACACACTGCAGTGACGACAAGGAGAGGACACTGCAGTGACGACAAGGAGAGGACACTGCAGTGACGACAAGGAGAGGACACTGCAGTGACGACAAGGAGAGGACACTGCAGTGACGACAAGGAGAGCACACACTGCAGTGAGGACAAGGAGAGCACACACTGCAGTGCGACAAGGAGAGGACACTGCAGTGACGACAAGGAGAGGACACTGCAGTGACGACAAGGAGAGCACACACTGCAGTGACGACAAGGAGAGCACACACTGCAGTGACGACAAGGAGAGCACACACTGCAGTGACGACAAGGAGAGCACACACTGCAGTGACGACAAGGAGAGGACACTGCAGTGACGACAAGGAGAGCACACACTGCAGTGACGACAAGGAGAGGACACTGAAGTGACGACAAGGAGAGGACACTGCAGTGACGACAAGGAGAGCACACACTGCAGTGACGACAAGGAGAGCACACACTGCAGTGACGACAAGGAGAGCACACACTGCAGTGACGACAAGGAGAGCACACACTGCAGTGCGACAAGGAGAGGACACTGCAGTGACGACAAGGAGAGCACACACTGCAGTGACGACAAGGAGAGCACACACTGCAGTGACGACAAGGAGAGGACACTGCAGTGACGACAAGGAGAGGACACTGCAGTGACGACAAGGAGAGCACACACTGCAGTGAGGACAAGGAGAGCACACTGCAGTGACGACAAGAAGAGCACACACTGCAGTGCGACAAGGAGAGGACACTGCAGTGACAACAAGGAGAGCACACACTGCAGTGCGACAAGGAGAGGACACTGCAGTGACGACAAGGAGAGGACACACTGCAGTGACGACAAGGAGAGCACACTGCAGTGACGACAAGAAGAGCACACACTGCAGTGACGACAAGGAGAGCACACACTGCAGTGAGGACAAGGAGAGCACACACTGCAGTGAGGACAAGGAGAGGACACTGCAGTGACGACAAGGAGAGGACACACTGCAGTGACGACAAGGAGAGCACACACTGCAGTGACGACAAGGAGAGGACACTGCTGTGACGACAAGGAGAGCACACACTGCAGTGACGACAAGGAGAGCACACACTGCAGTGACGACAAGGCTGACTAGTTTTCATAGTCAACAATACCAAAGACTAGACAAACATACAGGTGTTTTCCTATCCCCAAAATAGTAGTCATTTTAAAACTAAGCTTACAGATTCTATGTTGAGTACAAATATCCTAATTACCTAAATTACCTAAATATCATACTTAAGGGACTTACAAGCATCATATATTAAGGAATAATACCAGGCTATAAAATAATTTTTCTGACTCTACCTCTTAAAATTGAATCATATTATGTGAGAACCATAAACATAAAGTATCAGCAGAAATGGACAAAGAGGACTAAGGAGATGACTCCATGGGTAAAGTGCCTGATCACAAGCCTGATGACCCGAGTTCAGATCCTAGAACACACTTTAGCCTTGAGGAGGAGGAAGGAGGAAAGGCAGAGAGGTGGTCCCTGAACCTCAATGGCTTAGCCAAAGTAGTGACCTGAATTCAGGTTCACTGAGAGACCCTGTTTCAAAAAAATAAAGATGCAGAGCACCTGAGCAAAGTATGCAACATCAACCTTGGGCCAAAGCATGCAAATTCAACAGTGTACATGTGCACCCCTACACACACACCCACATCACACAACACATGCAAACGCACGCATGCATGGAAAACAGAAATACATAAAGGGTAGGACAAAATATACTGAAGTCGCTTGCAATCTGGATAGTAATAATAATAATCTCTAAGAGTTAGAGTCTAACAGTAGTTAAGTATATTTCAATCTCTATATTTCCTTAAATTTTATGTAAACGGTTTCCTTATCCACGCATAACCCACAGTACATAAAAAAGTAAAAACTGTATTACCTGAATTGGATGTTCACTAAATGAGGCTGAGAGCCATCAGATTGCCAGTAAGTTTCTAGATTGTCATCTCGTAATTGGTCTACACCAAACCCTAGAAACAGTGAAAATGGCAATAAATTTCTGTGAAAAAGTTATATGTTTAAAACATAAAATTATTATACATATTTGTCCAGATAAAGACTTTATCAAAATACAAAACTTAACCAAAACTCTTTCACTCTTTCATTCAGATCTGAGCTCAAGAAATACCACTGCTGGCTGGTTGTGTCGATCACTGTCAGACCGCTTGTTTCTTAAGTGTGAGGCCCTGGGTTCAATCCCCTTGACACACAGGACAAACATTTTGAGTGGCTGATTTTTTTAAAAGGCATCTCTGGGGATAAAGTCCTTATTTTCTCAAATCCAAATTCTTCCCCTTTTTATAAGCTAATCATAAGAATGATCATCCTGTGATGGCCTTTAGAATAGGCAGATTTGAGCAGGCTCATTATCCCATCTTAGCTTTTTGATACTTTTTAAGTTCCCTAGTAAAGATAACTAAATTTCATGGTTCTTAAGAGAGTCCTTGTTAAACAATCTATTGAGTTAAAGGCTTCTTCTACTTATTTCACTTTGGCTATATTTTTCCCCTGTTTTACAATTTTATTTCTATCTTATCTCAAAGAATTTCATAAAGTGGTATTTAGTCTTAAGCAAAACAAGTATTAAACAAAAATCTTTAACTCAAGACTAATTTGAAATTTGCTTCTAAGACATTACTTATTAAAGTATAATGGGAAAAACAAATAAGCATAATCTTTTGAGAACTGATCATTCTGGACCTTTCCTCCAGGACACTGAGTATGATTACCAGCTTCCACGTCCACATTTTTTCTCACAAGCAGAATGTATTATGAGCATAAATTCACATGCTGATGTCACCTCTTTCTTAAGTGTCCAATGTGATTATTGTATCTGAGTTGTCTTAGTCAAAAAAGACTTTAAGACAATGGCAGATCTGTTTTAATGGCTTTGACAGGTATTATGTACCCAGGTAAAGAACATTATTCAGAGGGAAAAAACTTTTATAAGCCATAACAGGCTCAGTGGTTCTCTTTTTACGGTTCTACTGCTTGTAGACACTAGAAGAGGGCACTGGTCCTATGAAGTGAGAGTTAGAGGTGGTGTGAGCCGCACAATACAAAATGGCAACTGAACCCAGGTCCTCTGGAAGAGAGCAAGGGTTGGACACTTGAGCTCTCTCCAGTTGCAGTGGTCCTGCAGTGCAGCCCTGCACCTGCAACATCAGCAATTCTGAGAGCCTGCCTCACTCAAAGTATGTTTAAGGAATCTTTTGGATGATTCTGGTGCGTGCTAAGATGTCACAGCTCCTTCTCCAAGGTTGCACTTCTTATACTTGTCTTGGCACTACTCATTTTCTGGACTCATCAATGCCTTGTTATGAGGTCGCTGTCCTGACCTCTACTTAGGTGATGCCCAGAAAACAACAACTCTCCCTCCTTCCCATGGTCATGATGACAGTCAATCAATCTGCAGACACTGCTAAAGGATGGGGCTAGGGTATGAGCAATAAAACCATCCATAAGTAAAAACAACTGTCCCAAGGCAAAAAGAAACAATATTCTTTGTGGTTATGGTTACTGTTTAGTAAATACTCATTTTTTTTCTCTTGGCCCTCCATCGGGGTTATATGGTCATATTTGGATTAAGTCCAGACTGATTTGAGTTCAACACAATGTGAATGAATATGACACAAACTGCAGTTTTAATGTGTTTGCAAGGTCTGGATTAACCCTTTAAAAGTCTCTACCACACTAAGAGAGCATGTCTGGATCCATAGGGCAGACACCATTCATTACATGAAAGATATATTTTAAGTGTCCAAGCCATTTTCTTCCTTTTTTTTTTTTTTTTTGGTTTTTCGAGACAGGGTTTCTCTGTGGTTTTGGAGCCTGTCCTGGAACTAGCTCTTGTAGACCAGGCTGGTCTCGAACTCACAGAGATCTGCCTGCCTCTGCCTTCCGAGTGCTGGGATTAAAGGCGTGCGCCACCACCGCCCGGCTGAGAGAATTCTTTATTGGGAACAAGTGTTAAGTGGGAGGAAGTCCTTCTGTAGATGTGTTGCTTTTATTGGTTCATGAATAAAACTGCTTTGGCCTATGGCAGGACAGAATATAACCAGGCTGGAAGATATATAGATAGATAGATAGATAGATAGATAGATAGATAGATAGATACAGAGACAGAGAGAGAGTAGGTGGAGTCAGAGAGATGCCATGTAGCTGCTGAAGGAGAAAGACGCCAGAACAGAACCTTACATGGTAAGCCACAGCCTTGTGGTAATACACAGATTAATAGAAATGGGTTAAGATGTAAGAGTTGACTAATAAGAAGCCTGAGCTAATAGGCTAGCCATTTTCTTCTTCTTCTTTTTTTTGATTTTTAGGTTTTTCGAGGCAGGGTTTCTCTGTGTTGTTGTTTTTTTTTTTTTTTTTTTTTTTTTTTTTTTTTTGGAGCCTGTCCTGGAACTAGCTCTGTAGACCAGGCTGGTCTCGAACTCACAGAGATCCACCTGCCTCTGCCTCCCAAGTGCTGGGATTAAAGGCGTGCGCCACCACCGCCCGGCTAGCCATTTTCTTCTTAAGCATCTCTAGAAACACAATTACTTTCAGACTGGATAGGGGGTTACTGTAACTCAGCCACATGCCTTGACTTTATCAGATGTGGTGTTACACACCCGTAATCCTAGAACTTGGAAGGCACAGGCAGGCAGACAGCGTGTGTGTTTGAGGCCAACCTAATCTACTAGAGAATTTCAAACCAGCCAGCACTACATAGTAAGACCCCATCAGAAAGACAGACAGACAGACAGACAGAAAAAAAATACAGCCTTTGTAAAAGAATTCATCTATAATTGTATCCTACAACTGTTTACAGTTCAGCTAAACAAAACCAATGAGCTTTCTCCTTGTACTTAAAATCCAAATTCTTTTTCTTTTTTTTTTTTTCCTTTGGTTTTCTGAGACAGGGTTTCTCTGTAGCTTTGGAGCCTGTCCTGGAACTAGCTCTTGTAGACCAGGCTGGCCTCAAATACCGGAGTGCTGGGATTAAAGGTGTGCACCACCAACGCCTGGTCAAATCCAAATTCTTTGTGTGTACATGCATGTTTTATGTGTTCATGCATATATGTGCACATGCACAGACCAGAAGTTGATAATAGGTATCTTCCTCTATCACTCTCTACTTTATTTTGAATGCATATGTATTTTGGTGTATGTATGTACACATGGGTGAAGGGTTACACAAAAACGTAGAAGTCAGGCATCAATGTTAGGAGTTTTACTGTGAAGTTTTGTGTGTCAACTTGACACAAGCTAGAATCATCAGAGAGAAAGGAGACTCCATGTGATCCAGCTGTAAGGCATTTTCCCATCTAGTCATCAATGAGGGAGGGCCCAGCCTCTGGTGGGTGGTGCTATATCTGGGCTGGTGGTCCTGGGTTCCATAAAAAAGCAAACTGAGCAAGCCCTGGAAAGCAAACCAGTAAGCAGCTTCTCTCCTTGGTCTCTGCATCAGCTTCTGCCTTCAGGTTCCTGTCCCGTTTGAGTTCCTATCCTGACTTCTTTCAGTGATGAACAGTGATGTGGAAGTAGAAGCCAAATAAATGCTTTCCTCTCCAACTAGTTTTTTGGTCATGGTGTTTCATTGCAGCAATAGAAATCCTAACTAAGACAGGTGTCTTGCTCAATTACTTTCTTCATTATTTTATAAGATAGTGTCTCTCACTGACCCTGGAGCTCATCAAGTCAGCAAGACTATCTGGCCAGCAAGTCCCAGGGATCCTCTTATCTCTGCCTTCCAAGCCCTGGAAGTAGAGGCACCCCTGACACAGCAGGATTTTTACATAGGTGCCAGGGATCAAAACTCAAGTCCTATAGCTAGAGAGGCAGATCAGCAGTTAAGAACATTTGCTGCTCTTGCAGAAGACACAGCTTCAGTTCCCAGCATCCATGTGTCATATTCATTTATAACACCAGTTCCAAGGGATCCAATGTGTCCCAGAGGCATCAGGCACACACACAGTGCATACACATACATGCGGGCAAACAATCATATATATAAAATAAATTAAAAAAAAGAAAAAGAAAAGCTCACAGGGCAGTGGTATACACCTTTAATACTAAAGTGCTAGGGAGGTAGAGACAGGCAGAGTGAGTTCGAGGCCAGCCTGCTCTTCAAGAGCTAGGTCCAGGATAGGCTCCAAAGCTACACAGAGAAACCCTATCTTGAAAAAGAAACAATGATAATGTTGATGATGATAATGGACTATGATGTAGAAGCGTAAGCCAAATAAATAAACCCTTTCTTCCCCACTTTATTTTTGGTCATAGCATTTCATTATAACAATAGTAACCCTGACTAAGTCAGAAACTATGCCCAGGTTTCAATAACAGCAGTAACAACTGAAGATCACTGCAGTTATGTCAAGCTGATTTCCCACAGAATCAGTGAACTGACAATAAAAAAAAAGGAACATCCTACCAACACCTACAATAGCAAAACTCACAAACATACTACACTATGTAAAAGAAGCCAGACTCAAAAGTTTCCATACTATAGGACTATATTCATAATAGAATTCTTCAGCTGGGTAGTGGTGCCTCAGGCCTTTAATACCAGCACTTGAGAGACAGAGACAGGCAGATCTTTGAAAATTTTACACTGATCTTTTTTAAATTATTACAGAAAAGAAGAAAATGCCTATCAAATTAAGGGTTAGATAAATGAGAAGAGATACACACATATCCTACCCTGACACATACTAGCAAAAGACATCGACTCCAAGAATAAAGAGAAAAATATTAAATGCTTCCAGAAAGAACAGCAAGCATAAAATGTGAATTAAACAACTAAATAACAGCAGAAATGGCACAGGAGGAGGAGACAGTCTTATAAGAAACTTAAATCTAACAAATATTAAAAATCTTATTAATATTGGTAATGCAATTGGATGAAAACTACACAATAAATGAAAACCCAGTTCATTAGAATTAAAATAAAATATCTACACACACACACACACACACACAAAATTAAAGGTAGTCCAATACATAAGAAAATTATTAGTAGGTTGGGCAATGCCTTTATTCCCAGCACCTGGGAGGCAGAGGCAGCCAGATCTCTGAGTTGAAGGCCAGCCTGGTTTACAGAGCAAGTTCTAGGACAGCCAGGACTACACGGAGAAACCCTGTCTCAAAAATTAAAATAAATAAGTAAGCCAAAAGCCATGTATATATAAAATAAAAGAAAATTATAAGTAATTATTATCACAGCATCTAAGTTTTGTTTTGCTTTACCTGGTTTGCACGAAGAGAGTGACCAAACAGCTTGGGACCCGATTTCCCTTACTGTCGCTGTCCTTTCCAACTGCTTAGGATCAGCACCAGGAGGCGTCTTGTTCGGTGTGGTCATTTTAAAATTATTCTGCGGAGAAACAAGCAATATTCATTATTCCTAGACTTGACCATCTGTCTTCAAATGTAAAAACAAAAGTTCAGTGCCGAGCCTTGTGGTCTAAGGCAGAGGCAGAAGCAGAAAGACTGGAGTTCAAGGCCAACTTGTTCTACGCAGTTCCAGGACTACATAGGGACCCTATGTCAAATAAGATAAAATAAAATAAACTTTAATGACAAAATAATCACTCATATTCCCTTCATCTTTTATACCTTTTGTTAATCCTAGCAAAGGTATGAAAACATGAAGAAGAAAAAACTTCTTGGGAAGTTGAGAGTATGTTGAACTGCTCCGGTAAACGTTATGGCTACTCTACATTATGGTAAATCCTAAACAGAACCAATAGAACTATAGACCATCTCCTTAACACGTTCCTTCCGATTCCAAGCTATCCCTGTAACCGCCACATCCAAGAATCCTCTAAGTAATCACAGAGACATTATAAATTCCGTTAAACCCTGAATGGTCTGCCACCGGAGGAGGAGGGGCAGGACCCATCTCGACATGGGAACAGACAGAAACGACCAGCCAGGCGGAGAAACAAAAGGCTAGGAGAGGAATGGGTCCTGGACTTAAAGACTAACACTGCAGGAGCTGAGCACAGGACTGAGGACGCTGCCTGACGCCGCTACTCCACCAGGTCCGCTAAGGCTCCACCCCAGACCCATCAGGCCTGAGGAGACAGCAAGCTCAACGCCACCGAGAACAGGGAAAAGCCAGGGCGGATCTCGAACTCGGTACAGACCTGGTCCGCCACAATCCGTTTCCGCGGCGCCTGCCGGTCCACGCCACTCACACCGCAGCTCAGTGATTCCGGGCTCCCTCAGTAGACAAGAGTCGCAACCCAATGACGTCAGAGGCGTCCACACCTTCCATCCACGGCGCCGACTCCGCGCTCCGGCGCACGCGCGCGCGCGCACTACGCGCTCGTCCCTTGCGCGTGGCGGCGGCTGGACCCCGCCATCTTGGCCGGTGGCGGTAAGAACACGTTGTGCATCGGAGAGCTGAAGGCTAGCGCCGCTCTGACCACTGCACGCCCCGTAGTCAGGGGACCGTCGTCTCCAGGTACGTGGCGGGCGGAAGGCAGCGGCGTCCGGTGGCCGACCGCCGTCGTGGGAGCATGTGGGGACGCTCTCGAGTGCCCGTGGCTAGGCCGCGGTGGCAGACCGTAGCGCGTGGCGCCCGGCGCCGGCTGCCCATCTGGGACCGCGGAGCGCTCCTCGCGTCCGCTCAGCCACCCCGGCTCGAGGCCGCCGTCCTCCAAACCCTGACAGCTACCGTCGCCGCAGGCATCCGCCCTGCACCGGTGTCCACCCCGCTCCGGCGTCCACCCTGCACCGCCTTCCCTTTCCCCGGCTCCCAGCCTGGAGCCGAGCGCTTTCAGGACTCAACGCGCCCCGCAGGTCCCCCCAGCCTCCTGTCACAGGCAGATGGCTGTGTTGTCATAGCATCGCTGTGGTTTCTCTTGTCCCTTTTAATGATTGCGGAGTGAGTCACGGCATCGTGCCGCCATGAAGCCCGGTACTCCTACTCCTCCCAGGCTTTATAGAAGTGATGCGCAAGTGTTCTACTTTTCTCCCAGAGCGGCGTGTTCTCAGTTGAGACTCGAGTTGGCCCAAGTGAATTTGCGAATTAAATGCTTTGGAAAGGCATTTTGTAGCACTCCTTACTCTTCCTGTTAGTGATTTAATCTTTTCGTTTATTACTTCTTAAGCTTCTTGACATCAGGGATGTCTTTATTCAAAATATCTTCAGATACCCTTTTAAGACGCAGTACATTGTAGGCATTTAGTATTTGTTTCAAATAAATAATGGCCAAAGCTGAAATCCTGCACCCATGAGCTACATTAAGTATTTTTTCTTTTTTCAATGGTAAAATTGGTAACTAAGAAATAACTAACTGTCAGAACAGATTTTATTATTTTACTCTTTTCTTTCCAGAGACTACTAACTAGGGAGTTAGGATAGTAAGGTCTGCGTTGTAATCACTGGGCCTGTGTACTGAACGTAGTCGTCCTGTGTCTCCATCAGTTGATAGTTACTGTATTCAGTGTAATCAGAAGCTTTTTATGTGTAGTTAACCAAAATGTATTTAAGGTTTTATTTTTTTAATTAATGTAGCTTAGCTCACCTCTACAAACAAAACAACAAACACAGAAATTTGTTTCACAAGAACATTTACCAGTTGCTGAAAGGCAGTCCATTAAAAATCAAAGCTATGTGCCTTTCCCAACTTAGTGTGCTTTACAGGGCTAATTTACAGGAAGCATAGGTCATAATATTTCATGTGACCTCAGACTGTAAGTGTTTCCCATGTGTATGCCCACATCCATGTTCTCACTGTCCTGGAAGGATAGCACCGAGCCATTGCTCTAAGTCTTCAGATCTTTATGTAGTCCCAGAAGTTCGTTGCTATAGTCTTCCTCTTCGAGCTTTTCTGTGCCAAGTTCTTATGGGAAAGAAGGGAACTCCTTTTCCCTAATTCTTGGAAATACTACTGAAGTTGAACAAATAGTGTTTACCTATGTAAGTAACCGTTATACAAAGAATCTACATTTATTTTTCTTAAATGTAAAATAATTTATTATTATGTAAATCAACTTTTAGCCACCTCTAGTGTGTTTCTGTTCCACATAAATACTGTATATTATAGACTTAATAATTTTAACAAAAATAAAGACCAACATAAACAATTTTTTTTTAAGATTTATTTATTTATTAAGTATACAGTCCAGACGAGGGCACCAGATCTCATTACAGGTGGTTGTGAACCACCATGTGGTTGCTGGGAATTGAACTCAGGACCTTTGGAAGAGCAGGCAGTGCTCTTAACCACTGAGCCATCTCTCCAGCCCCCAACATAAACAATTTTATAGTGAAAGGGTTGTTTAATCTCTGAAAAGGAATTCATTTGCCAGGTAATTTGTTTAAAAAAGCATTTTTTTTATTTGTATCAGAATGCATGATACCCAGTTTAGTAGCAGCTTTGCAAAAATAATCAATGTCTTAGAAAAATCACATGGTTTGACTTGGGGTTTTAAGTTAACTCTAAGGTAAAGTAAAATCGTTTCAATTTCTTCTTCTAACTTAGGAGACCTGGATCACTTTAAAGAAGTGACCTTGTCTGTCAGCATAGCTCTGTTAAGGTCTTATGTTTTCATTAACATAGCTTAGCTCAACTCTACCAAAAGAAAGTAGAGCATGTACCAGTTAGAAAGGAAGTGATCTGATGGTTTGTAAATGATGAAAATATTTAGGTCCGAGAGGAAAACCTGTTTTTAGGGAAGAAGAGGGAATAATCTATAGCAGCACTGAGTAGCAAGACTGCTTATGTCCCTCCAAGTCTAATCATTTTAGTGGCTATGTTGATGGAGGTTCCCAGAAAGGCCAGCAAAATACCTTTGCAAATGGATAGTCTTGGCGTTTGGATTCTTCATTATGTATTGAAGTAAACTAGAATCTGAAGGCAGTTAGGATTTATTCCCTTTAGTCTCCAGAGGGAATTAATTAATATCAGTTCACCAAATCCAATATCAAAAGATTGTTAAATTTGCCTTGACCTAAATTCTGTGTAGATATTATATATCAAGACTTAGGAAAGTCTTGAAAGCATGATACATATGTATAGTGAATTACTACTAATAGACAAAACCTGGACAGTGGATGATGGCCACAGCTCTATTTGTCCCTCGCCATCAGTAGTCAGTGTAGTCAATTGGAAAAGAAAATGAATTGATGATTGGTTTATAGGAACAAAGAAGAAACATCTTGAGATTGTGTGTGTGTGTTCGTGTTCATATATAGTTCATTTTATAAGTTAATGTTTGTACAGTGGTGTTAAGTATTGAAGCCATGGCTAATTTTTCAGTCTCTCAAGTCTAAGTTTGAAGTTTAATATTCCTGGTTATTCTTCCCAAAAGAGCTTTAGCTTTCATTGATTTGATATTTTCTTTTACCCAAGAGATTGGATTGTATAAAACTGAGATAACGTATTTTATTTGGTTAGATCTTTTGGAATTTAGTGTTTTTTGAGTATTTTCCTGTGCATGTATATTCCTAGATGTTTTTTGGTTTGGGTTGGGTTTTGTGATATTTTACATGACACCTGTTTTCTAATCTAAATCCATTGTGTAAAGTTTTGTTTTTCCACCTGAATAGATTATTTTGCTGTTTCTAATCATTTTTACACTTTTCAAATTTCTTTTTGTTTGTTTGTTTTTTCGAGACAGGTTTCTCTGTAGCTTTGGTGCCTATCCTGGAACTAGCTCTTGTAGAGCAGGCTGGCCTCGAACTCACAGAGATCTGCCTGCCTCTGCCTCCTGAGTGCTGGGATTAAAGGCGTGCGTCACCATTGCCTGACTGCTTTTCAAATTTCTGAGCGCCAAATGATTGTGTCGTTTTATGGCCATTAATTATTTCTCTTTGGGTGATTATAATGAATTTGCTGTAACTTTGTTCATTTTTCTTTAATAGGCAAGCCAGACATTCTTTGTTACAATTATGGCAGACAAATTAACAAGAATTGCTATTGTCAACCATGACAAATGTAAACCTAAGAAATGTCGACAGGAGTGCAAAAAGAGTTGCCCTGTGGTTCGAATGGGTAAGCAGTTCTCTTGGCCATCTAAGGGTAGGAAGTGTCTATGGGAAAGCAGATAGTCTGATAACCTTCATAGAGAAAGCAGATAGTGTGATAGCAAATACTGTGCTCATCACAGATAGTTTCTCTGAACTACAAAGGTGAGAAATTTAAAATTATTCTAAGCTTTTTGTTTATTTTTCTAAGTTTGTGACTAAACGGTCTTTCTAAAAGAACTTATAGAATATCATTATTAAGACATTCCCTAAATATACAGTCAAACCAAAAGTTAACTGCAATCCTTGCTATTCTATGAGATCCTGTAATTGAGTCACAGGGAAAGGATTACCAGAATCTTTACATTAGATGTTGTTTTCATCTTGAAACCAATAAATAAATAGATTTAAGGTTAATGACAGTCATTTCTTGGGGTATTGCTAGATTTTCGAGACTAAGTAAACCTAGCAATTTGGAGCTAACAAATTGTTGATGCCTTTCGGCCTTGGCTGCATGGCTACTGCCTTGTAGTGGTGTCTCTAGATGGTATCTGTTAATGTCTCCTGTGCTTTTCAGAAATTCAGTTTTTGAGGTCTGGAATGTTGTGCTTAATTTTACCTGTATACTACAAAACTGCATAGCTTTTTGGAGTTTTATTTACCTAGCTGAAGTGCTTTATTCCTATCTACAGTATGCCTTTCCATTTCCAATACTTATTTTCTTTTATGAGTTAAAGAGTCATTTATTATATGCAGGACTGTGGGGTTGCAGTCAAAAACAAATTTAGCCAGTCAGCGTAAACAATAATATTTCAAGGTTTACCATTTTTACTAGTATTAGATAAACAGAATATATTGGCCATTTGCTTATTGCCTAGCAAGAATATATAATTAATAAACACAATTGTTTAATTTAGGATGTGTTTCATCAAACACTAATGTAAGAAATTATCTTTGTCATTGAAACTTGTGTAGCATTTCCAGAAGCAGCATTTTCTGAATAACAATCTTAAAAGTGTTCTGACAAAGGAAATTATTTTTCTTTGCCAGGAAAATTATGTATAGAGGTTACACCCCAGAGCAAAATAGCATGGATTTCTGAGACTCTCTGTATTGGTTGTGGTATTTGTATTAAGG